CCCGCCCGCCGGGCTTCTCGCCGCCGTCATCCCCCGCCGCCCCCCCACCGGGGCTCGCGGGGCTCCTCCCACGACCCTCATGGCGGCTCGACCCCCGCGTCGCTCCTCGCTCCAGCTGCTGCGCGGGCTCGGGCGCAGGTGCGGGGTCGCGGCACCTGGCAGAGCCCCTCCTTTCCGGGACGGAATTAGCCAAATTGGGAGGTGGAATTCCCGCCCCGCTGTGGGAAGGGGCTGATTGGAGGGGAGCCGAGGGGTCGACATAATTGTTTTACCGATCTCATACTTGTAGATTGCATCAGTTTTTAAGTCTTTTTTCCCCATTCATAATCTAATTTGATTGCGTTTATTTTTTTCATTCACTTGCATTTATTCAGCAAAATTTAGTGAGCAGTGCCTGTGTTGTCTGGCGTTGTTAAGAGGCGAAGAGAAAGCTACTGTTAGTGCCGGGCTTATAGGAAGAATTGGAGAAGGAAGATACATGGCGGCGGCATCCTGGGGGTGGGGAGCCTGCACTTACTGTGTGGTTTTAGGGAAATCGGTTGATCCGCACCTCAGGTCTCCCACCTGTAAAGAAGAGTGTATGAATGAAAGCTCTCAGTGCTGTGGAGAGGATCAAACGAGACAATTTTGAAAGACCCTTATAGATCTTATCATACTGTGTGTTTATTACTGGTTAACACTGACTTTAGTTCCTTCCTTCCTTCAATAAACATATAAAGTCTTCAATTATTTCGTGCTTTGGCTGAGTATAAAATCTGGATAATTTAGATGTCTTAGTTCTGCCAGCTGTATGATCTTGGGCAATAACTTTTCTGTGTCAGTTTCATTCTCTGTAAAATGGGGTGTCCATATTGACTTCACAGTATTGATGTATCTGGTGAGATAGTAAAGATGACACATGAACAGCTCGCTGGGTGTGGTGGTGCATGCCTGTAATCCCAGCACTCTGGAGGCTGAGGCAGGAGGATTGTCATTAATTCGAGGCCAGCCCGAACTACATAGGTGAGTTCAAGGCCAGACTGCACTACAAAGCAAAACCTTATGGGGGGTGGGGGAGAAGGAGAGAGAGAGAGAGAAAAAAAAAAAAGGAAAAGAAAAATACACAGCTGAGTATAAGTAAACTCTGGCTAACGTTGTATTTAGGGCAGATCATTGCTTCTCATGCTCATGCAGCATTGCTATTTCTGTGGTGTTTTTTTCTCCTGTGATACCCAGTTTAGTGCTGGCACACCTGGGGCTCTGAAGCTTCTGTTGCCTTCCTTCCTGAGAAGAGAGGGTAAAATGGGCCAGTGGGACAGGGAAGGACAGTTTGTGCTGAACATGTGATCAAGCCATGGCCCAGATCGTCTGATTTCTGCTGACCCCAGGACCCTGATCTCTGGCCTCCTGGGGCATCCTGGTCCCAGCAGACGCTTGCCCAGGGATTCTTGCTGACCCGGGTGCTGTCCTGCCCTCTCAGGCTCTAGGCTTTCTGAAGGCAAGGGCACTGTGCCCAAAGGGCAAGAGCAATGAGCCTCCAGTCTTTCTCTTCAGAGGGGAAACAGAGATTGGCAAGTTGAGGTGCAAGCAAAGAACACCAGGAGGTCCTGGGTGGCTGGGGGTCCTGTGACCAGGAAAGGAGGGTTCAGGAAGAGGTACAGGGGGTGGTGCTCAGAGAGGCCAGTGTTCTTAGGTTAATCATCTCTGTAGCTCAGATAAGACCCTGCCAGCTGGAAGCAGAGTCACTGTGACCAGAGGGTTTGTGTGGCTAAATCGGCAGACAGGACAGCGTGACCACGTCAGGGGACCATGCCAGGCACAAAACGGTTTCAACATGTGATTGAGACCCCAGAGCCTGGCGAGTGGGAGGTGAGACCCCTCTCAATTTGGGTCATTTGAACTGATTCCTAGAATTATTTTTTACCTGGACTTCCTTCCTCCCTGGGTTTCTGCTCATGCCTCCCTCCTCCTTCCTGCCTTCCCGGACTTCCTTCCTCCCTGGGTTTCTGCTCATGCCTCCCTCCTCCTTCCTGCCTTCCCTCCAGTCTTCCTTCCCTAATAAGCCCAGAGCACCAAGTATAGGCTAAGTGCCTGGTGGTGGTGGTAGTGGTGTTGGTGGTGGTGGTGTGTGTGTGTGTATAAGAGAGAGTCTCAACTCTGTGCCTGCTCCTCCCACCTCCAGTTCAGCAGGCACAAATGAGCCTTTGGATTCTTGTCCCTTTTTTTTTTTTGGTCCCTACTTTTCTCTAGTTGTCTGGGTATGAGGCAGCTGTGCCAATCACAGAGAAGTCAAATCCACTGACCCGGGACTTGGACAAAGCAAATGCTGAGGAAATTGTTCAGTTACTAGGGCAGTGCGATGCTGAGATCTTCCAGGAGGAGGGGCAAGCCTTGCCTGTGTACCAGGTAACCCAGACCCATCCCTTGGAAACCGCAAAGAAAGATGTCTTTCCATCTCCATTTCAACCTCTACCCTCCCAGGCTATTTCTCCTGATTTGGAAGTCCTGAGAGCCATTTCTCCTCTCATTCCACTTTACCACCCTTCTTTTCATGACTTCTGATTCCTGCTTCTTCCCTACAGCGATTGTACAGTGAATCAGTTCTGACCACCATGGTACAAGTGGCTGGGAAAGTGCAGGAAGTGCTGAAGGTACTAACCCCCCACCTTGCCCTCTGCCGAAATTCTTATTTTCTCCTCTCTCTCCTATTTCCTCCTCTTTCTCTCTCTCATTCTCTCTCTCTCTCTCTCTCTCTCTCTCTCTCTCTCTCTC